CCATCACTTACAGAGCCCTCCATGGTCAAGCACCTGCATACTTGACGGATCTGGTGTCCTTTCACTGTCCTGTCAGGTCACTGCGGTCCGCTGAAGGCCACCTACTTACTGTCCCTCACACAAGATTAAAGACGAAAGGTGATAGAGCCTTTAAGGCTGTTGCACCGAAATGGTGGAATGCACTACCTCATGAGCTGAGAGCGGCCTCTTCCGTGGACATTTTTAAAAAGCAGTTAAAAACACATGTGTTTAGGCTTGCGTTCCATTAATTGTCCATTGTATCATCTCTGTATTTCGCTGCACTTTACTTTTTATTTGTTTTTGTGTATTTTGCATTGTTTCTGTTATTGTATTTTTTGTATTTTATCTTGTGAAGCACTTTGTGAGTCCTCTCTGTGAGAAGTGCTATATAAATAAATTTACTTACTTACTTACTTACTCTCTAAGTCATCCATCAAGACCATAGGCTTCTCTGGGAAATCACAAGTCATACCACTGACAGAGCCTGTTCCAATGCTCATCGCCAATAAAGTCATATTTGCACCCCTACTCTATTCAGCTCATACACCAGTAAACCTTCCAGGCAGAGATATATTGTGCCCTCTCAAAACTAAGATCATGTGTACTCAAGATGGACTATATTTAGATTTCCCCGAGGAACCTCCACAAAGCACGATGCCACAGCTGCCCCGTTAATGCCACAGAGACACCACTGGCGTTGGTCTACTGGTTCCAACTGACCAGAAGAGTCTCACCTCAAACAGACATGGACTGAGTGGGAACCAGGGGTCAGGTTACATTTTGACACAGCACATACTCCCACTCTGCCACTGCATTGCACGTTCATGTATGACGCAGACCAGACTCATGTAGATTATCAAGAATGCTGGGACGCAGTGCTCAATAAAAAACCATGCCTGATCATTAGTGAAGACATGTATTTAGGACCTCATGGTTTGGTGGCAGCCTTCCGCCTCCCAGAAGAATTATCTGGATGGTTTCAGGTGCCAAATTCTGCACCACATGTTACACTGATGATAGCAGAAGGTTATGAGTCTCATCATCTGGGTCCTATGGTCAGGCATGCACTGCAGGTGCGAGAGTGGTTACCCACCGAGAATAAATACATCCACATTTCAGATGACAAACAGTACATCAGAATCTCTACTAAGACAGGTGATGAAGCAGTCGCAGACAAGGTACTTGTAGATGGTACTACTCCCACACAGATGGCAGTCACAGAAGAACACACACAGTTGCTGAGTAAAGTTCCACCACAGCTATGGACAGCACATAAAACAGACGTAGGCTTGATAAAATCAGCGCAACCTGTTCGCATCACACTAAAACCGCATGCTAGCCTACCATACCAGAGGCAGTATCCTCTCCAGCAGCATGCCACTGACGGTATCCGACCCACAATTGAGGGCTTGGTAAAAGCCAGAGTTCTGGTCAAGTCCCTGCAACACGCCCATTTTTCCAAATCAAGAAACCAAATTCCTCAGAAGAGCAGCTAATGCAGTGGTGGAAACAGAGACGCCACATGTGCCAGATTCACACACGTTGCTTTCAAACATACCATCCGACACACAGTGGTACACAGTCATCGATTTGTGTTCAGCCTTTTTCAGTGTACCGCTACACTCAGACTCTCAATATTTGTTTGCATTCACTTATGAAGGTCAGCAATATGACCTAGCTAATTTGAACGTGCCAAGCACTGTATTACAACATGCAGATGATTTGCTTGTCTGTAGCTCTTCAAAAGAACAATGTCAAAAAGATTCTATTGCAGTGCTCACAGCATTAGCAGAGGGGGGACACAAGGTCAGTAAAGACAAATTGCAGTTCTGCCAGCAGTCTGTAGAGTACTTGGGCAGACAGTCGAGTGGGGATAAAAAGTGCATTGCCCCATCTCAAATAGAGGCAGTAAGTAAGGCTCCTCAACTGCAGACGGTGGGCCAAATGCTGTCTTTTCTCGGCATGACAGGATACAGTTGGCCATGGATTTGTGACTATGCTATAAAAACTGCTCCACTCAGAGCTTTAGTAAGAGCAGCAGGACAGACCAACAATACAACACAGCTGTCCTGGACGGAGGAAGCAGAAGGTGCATTCCAAGCCTTAAAAATAGACATGCAGTCTGCTCCAGCGTTAGGCACTCCTAACTACTCCAAGCCTTTTCATCTCTACGTAGCAGAGAAATCTGGGTTTGCGTGTGCTGTCCTGATGCAAGACACACCCACAGGTAAACAACCACTAGTATATTACAGCACTAAGCTTGATAACATAGAGGCCAGTTTGCCTCCCTGTTATCAGGGGCTAGCCGCAGCTGTCTTTACATTTCAAAAAGCATCCTTGTTAACAGTGGGACATCCTGTAACTTTGTACACCTCTCACCAGCTTCATGCCCTGCTGACAAGTCCCAGATTCGTTTTGACACAAGCCAGACACACAGGATATGAGGTCATCCTGTCCGCAGCAAGAGCTCAACATTCAACGATGTACTATCATTAATCCGGCCACCAAAATGGTTCTACCCACAGAAGGTATACCACATGACCATCTTCATGACACAGACAAATTTATGCACGCTCAAGAAGATTTGCACAATCAGCCCATTTCAGCTGCACTCACATTGTTTGTTGATGGTTCCTGCTTTCGGGACGCCACAGGTAGTCATGCAGTCTATGGAATTGTACAGCTCAACAACGATCAGGATTTTGTGACTATACAATCATGTAAACTTGCTCAGCCCTGCTCCACCCAGCTTGCAGAGATAAAAGCTCTAACAGCAGCGTGTAGATTAGCAAATGGAAAGTCACTGAATGTATATACAGACTCAACATATGCATATGGAGTGTGCCACATCCACGCAAACATTTGGAAACAGAGAGGGTTTCGCAGAGCAGACGGCACCCCAGTGACACATGGGGAGGCCACTGTTGACCTGTTGGAGGCTATGCTCCTCCCCAAAAACCCTAGTCATAATCAAATGTCCAGCCCACCAAAAGACTGATTCGTTGATAGCCAAGGGTAGTAATCTAGCTGATGTAGCAGCCAAACAGGCAGCAATAGGTGCAGTAATGGTACCCATATTAACCATACAAGACTGTGAACCCCTCACTACCATGCCTTCTCTTGTAGCTGCGCAAAACAGAGTAAGTAAGGCTGAAAAACGACTGTGGATCAAGCTTGGCGCCATCAGAACACAAGCACAGGGGCCAACAAATGGTCTCTGGCGAGATAGTCATGGCAATTTTGTACTACTGACCTTGTTGCTTCGACATGCTATAATTTGGGCGCATGGTATTGACCATTGTGCAAGGGGGGAGATCCTATGGAAATTGCAAGCAACATGGTGGTCACCATTCATGGCAGCCACGGTAGATAGAGTACTAAGCGAATGAGATACTTGCGCGAGATAAAACATCAGGAAAGTTTTTACAGCCCCACTGGCGCATATACCACCTCCAGACGGTCCTTTTAGACACCTCATGTTAGACTACATAGACATGGGAGCACATTCCAGAGTAAGAGGAATGAGATACGTCTTGTTAGTCATATGCAGATACAGCCGATGGGTAGAAGCAACAGCCACAGCCAATTCAGATCACAGAGCAGTTGCAAAATTCCTCTGCCGAGAAGTCTTCCGGAGATTTGGGATGCTGGACACCATATCATTGGATAACGGAAAACACTTTGTATATAATGTAAGACAAGAAACACTGAAGCAACTATCAAACAAAAGTTTGTCTACCACCCTCAATCACAGGGGGCAGTAGAAAGAGCAAATGGGATTCTGAAAACAAAAACAGCTAAAATAGTAGAAGATAGTGGGGACAAGCTTAACTGGGTGGATGCTTTACCGCTTGCACTAATGTCAATGCGCTCACAAGCCAGCAGAATCACGCATCTAATGCTGCGTTCACACCAAATGTGAATTCGCAAATTCGCGCGTCAAGATTACATACAAAGTCAATGAAAAGACGCGATGGACGCGATAGAGGCGTCTAGCATGGCGCGATAGACGCAAAATTCGCATCCAACGCCTCATCGTTCGAGTTGAAAATATTGAACTTTTGAGGTGAATTCGCGTGACGCTGTGCCGCGAAAGCCAATCAGCGTTGAGATTCTCCCGACATCACTGGCGTGTGTCAACAACGTCCAGTTGTTGACACAACAATAAACTGCTACTCACCGGAGACAGATGGACAGACGCTCTGCAGCTGAAATGGAGCGCCTGTAGTTGGTGTCCTGCCGGGAGATCCTGGCGCCAACCCTCGCCAACAGGTCCTCAAACTGGGCCCCAGTCAGCCTGAAGTACTGCTGAAAGCGGCTGTCATCCAGACGGAGTTCCTGGAGGAGGTGGTCAAACTCGCTGAGCTGGATGCGCTTCTGCAGGATAGGGTGAACCCAAAAACGACGGCGTTTGGCCCTCCGACGCATCTGGGACTTCCAGAGCAGGTACAAAGCAGCAATGGTGGTTATCTCAGCCATGGTTGTCAGTGGCTACCCGGAGCTATATGATACTACGTGTCTACTCTACAGAGACCGCAGCAAAAAGGAGCAGGCTTGGGTGAAAGTCGCCGAGGAGACTGGTCTACTTGGTAAGTTCTGTAAATATGTGTCTTTAATTAGTTTGCAGAATGGTTGTACTATGAACGTTAGCACTCGCTTAGCTCCAGTTAGCACAGCCGGCTTCCCCGCTACTCGCGCGAATGATGCAACAACGCGAATTAACAAAATGGTCCAGTGTCCATACTCGCGCGTTACGCGCGGCGCGTTATGAGTGAGTAATTCGCTTCACTCGCGCCCGGTGTGAACGCTAGTGATGGCCAAATGAAGCCTCATGAAGCATTTTCTTTATTTTCTGAGCCCACTAGATGGCGCTTTTTGTTCATCAAAAGGTTGAAAGCACACTGAATTGCCATTCTTTGAGCCTCTCTCTTTAAGCCATGAGTGCCATCTAGTGGGCTCAGAAAGTAAAGAAAATGCTTCATGAGGCTTCATTTGACCATCACTAGTGAACGCTACATAACACCGCATGAAATGCTTACGGGTCGACCCATGCCAATACCAGGGCCATCTTCCAGCAGGTGAAAGGGGCCACAGAGGACAGACGAGTCGAGATCCCAGAGGACCTTCAGAAGATGCCTCCCCGCAGGAGCAAGGGACAAGGCGATCCTCACGCTTGGTGGCCAGGCGGAATCGGAGCAGGGCCCAGAGTGACAGCAGTGGGTCACTGCCAGGGAGGGTATCACCAGAGAGCACCACGGAGGGGAGTACCTCCTCCACAGTGGCTAGTGATGAGTCTCATGAGTCGACACCTGACAGCTGCAGGGATGATGATGAAGGCGCAAGGACAGCAAGAGCAGAGGAAATTGAGGAAGCTGCAGAAGAAGAAGAAGGCCGCAGCACAGAAACAGGCGCAGCAGAGAGCCAAGAAAGTGCAGACGCAGACACAGGAGACACAGACACAAGGGGTGCAGACACAGGAGATGCAGGCTCAGAACAGGGAACAACAGACCAGCAGGCCATATAGCCAGAGAAGTTCAGATGTAGGAGGCCAAACCAGTATAGGAGGAGGAATTCAGGCAGGGATAATAGCTGCAGTGCTACTAACATTACTGCTTATCATGACAGGGGTGAAGCCAAGTGAGGGAGCAGAACAGAGCGATCAGGATCAGGGGCAGATGGACCATTGTTTACTCGCACTAGGATCCATGGCTGTAAAACAAGGACAGATGCCTAGCGGGGAAATAGTGCAGCTGACCTACTATAAGTCACACGCTTATGATGATGTGTTGGAGGAAGATCCAGGAAATATTAGGCTGCATGGCTGGTCTATAGGACCACAATGTAGAGCAGAGGGGATGGTGACAGCAAGAGTCTGGTGTGACAATGAAGGTTGTCCCAACATAGACACCGGGCACATAGTACCCGTAGAACTTGCTCAGCAATGGCTCGAACTAAAATCAGAACCCCGCAGGAGAACCAGAAACGCGCCAGCACAAGACTAGAACTACCATGTGGAGATCTAATGTGTTTTACCAGTGGTTAGAGTACTCCGCCAAACAAGTAACCAACAGCTCGTGCATAGCCTACCACAGATAATTAGGCCTACCCAGAGTTAGGCCCCTCCCAGGTATAGAGGATTGTGAATGACGAGACACCTATTTTGCACAGTGTACCATGTGGATGGCGGCAGGGAAAACCAATTACGCTAATAATAGTGAAATCTGCCCAATACGTCTGAAAGGGGCTCCTGAGCAAATTAAAAAAGAATTTCAAGTACCACCAGTAGTGCATTTGGCTCAAGATATTGTATTTCCTTTTTATGTAGCCCGAGGGGACATCGACCATTGGCTAGAGAATTCCACTAGCAGCAGCAACAACACGCTTGAGGCGGAACAATTGATCCAGTGCTGGTAGGAAAGTGCCACCCATAAGCAAACTAATCAGACTTGGATCGCAAAAGTGTGTCAAACCGTAGAAAAAGCTAAGATTCAATGTCACCAGGTGGTAAGCAGCACAGCTAAAACCTCATACGTTATGGGGCGCAATCTCACTCACGCCACATTTGGATTTATGACCTTAGCAAAGGTATGGATCCCTAGCAGATATATTCCATAGGAGATGACTGGATAGGGACAGGTAGAGGATTAGGTGCTATGCCATTTGTAGGGACTATAATGAACACCCAGTACATAGCACGTAATAGCCGCTGGGTAAACTATTTGTGGTACAATCAACAGAGGTTCGTAAATTGATCTATAGCAGCACTGGAAGGTGTGAGTGAACAGTTCCATGCTACATCCCTAATGACTATGCAGAACAGACTTGTCATCGAAACAACGTTAGCCCCAGACCAAGGTGTCTGTGATATAATAGGGGAAGAGTGCTGTACAGCCATCCCCATGAATACAGGTGAAGATGGCAACCTGACTCAAGCTTTAGAAAACATACGTAGACTAAGAGACCAACAAGTAAAACACTCCAATTGGAACACTAAAACCTCATCAATTCTTGACTGGTTAGAAAAGTTGGAAAAATCTTACGAACTATAGGAGTAATATTTGGACTTGTTCTATTGACTATTCTCTTGATAATCTGTTGCGTCCTTCCCTTAATACAGGTCCTGATAAGAAGGGCCATGAGAGCGGCCACGGGACAATTTGTTATGCTGATACAACAGCCGGAAAGGCTACCCAACAGAGGAGAATTGTGGGGACTAGACGAACCGTGGGTAAGACCATATGCACCCAAAAGATTGAACAACGATTTATATGAGACCATGATTGACAATACGGACGTACAGTACAGGCCAAAAGTTTGGACACACCTTCTCATTCAATGCGTTTTCTTTATTTTCATGACTATTTACATTGTAGATTCTCACTGAAGGCATCAAAACTATGAAACACATGTGGAGTTATATACTTAACAAAAAAAGGTGAAATAACTGAAAACATGTTTTATATTCTAGTTTCTTCAAAATAGCCACCCTTTGCTCTGATTACTGCTTTGCACACTCTTGGCATTCTCTCGATGAGCTTCAAGAGGTAGTCACCTGAAATGGTTTCCACTTCACAGGTGTGCCTTATCAGGGTTAATTAGTGGAATTTCTTGCTTTATCAATGGGGTTGGGACCATCAGTTGTGTTGTGCAGAAATCAGGTTAATACACAGCCGACAGCCCTATTGGACAACTGTTAAAATTCATATTATGGCAAGAACCAATCAGCTAACTAAAGAAAAACGAGTGGCCATCATTACTTTAAGAAATGAAGGTCAGTCAGTCCGGAAAATTGCAAAAACTTTAAATGTGTCCCTAAGTGGAGTCGCAAAAACCATCAAGCGCTACAACGAAACTGGCACACATGAGGACCGACCCAGGAGAGGAAGACCAAGAGTCACCTCTGCTTCTGAGGATAAGTTCATCTGAGTCACCAGCCTCAGAAATCGCAAGTTAACAGCAGCTCAGATCAGAGACCAGATGAATGCCACACAGAGTTCTAGCAGCAGACCCATCTCTAGAACAACTGTTAAGAGGAGACTGCGCCAATCAGGCCTTCATGGTCAAATAGCTGCTAGGAAACCACTGCTAAGGAGAGGCAACAAGCAGAAGAGATTTGTTTGGGCCAAGAAACACAAGGAATGGACATTAGACCAGTGGAAATCTGTGCTTTGGTCTGATGAGTCCAAATTTGACATCTTTGGTTCCAACCGCCGTGTCTTTGTGAGACGCAGAAAAGGTGAACGGATGGATTCCACATGCCTGGTTCCCACTGTGAAGCATGGAGGAGGAGGTGTGATGGTGTGGGGGTGTTTTGCTGGTGACACTGTTGGGGATTTATTCAAAATTGAAGGCACACTGAACCAGCATGGCTACCACAGCATCCTGCAGCGACATGCCATCCCATCTGGTTTGCGTTTAGTTGGGCGATCATTTATTTTTCAACAGGACAATGACCCCAAACACACCTCCAGGCTGTGTAAGGGCTATTTGACCAAGAAGGAGAGTGATGGAGTGCTGCGGCAGATGACCTGGCCTCCACAGTCACCGGACCTGAACCCAATCAAGATGGTTTGGGGTGAGCTGGACCGCAGAGTGAAGGCAAAGGGGCCAACAAGTGCTAAACACCTCTGGGAACTCCTTCAAGACTGTTGGAAAACCATTTCAGGTGACTACCTCTTGAAGCTCATGGAGAGAATGCCAAGAGTGTGCAAAGCAGTAATCAGAGCAAAGGGTGGCTATTTTGAAGAAACTAGAATATAAAACATGTTTTCAGTTATTTCACCTTTTTTTGTTAAGTACATAACTCCACATGTGTTCATTCATAGTTTTGATGCCTTCAGTGAGAATCTACAATGTAAATAGTCATGAAAATAAAGAAAACGCATTGAATGAGAAGGTGTGTCCAAACTTTTGGCCTGTACTGTATATGAGCATATGTCTGACAACCTAAACCTATATAAGCCAATGAAGGGGAACCTGAAAGAGGAATACGAGGTCGTATAGAGGGAGAGCCAATTCAGGGTAAGAAATAACCAAATAATTGGCAATAGATCCAGGTAAACCTTGCTGTTACCAAACCCATACTAACAATCGACTGATTAACATATATAGGTTATTTATACCACGGGGCAGTTAGAAGGAAAAGGAGGAAAAGAGGGAAGTGAATTGAACTAAACAATGTCCTTTACAACACATAGATAGGTGCAGAGCATGGCTAGCAGTTGGAGATCCCCGTATCCAAAGCAGCAGAATCCAGGGTTGGCCTGCCAAGAGCGCCCAGCCATGCCGGAGTGCCCAGACCACTCCAACCCATCTCCCAGGCTGACCAACTGACCCCCATTCGCGTATGTGCCTCAAGGAGGAGCCCCCATTGAAGCCCATTGGTACCAGTACGCGCCGATGACCTCGCCAGGAACCTACGTGCCACCGCTTATGCAGCCGCCATTGACGAACATCCCGAACTGGACTCCCATCAACCCCTTCAACCCCGCTGACAACGCACACCTGTGCCACCAAGACCATTGTCCCGAGCCACCAGAGTCCTGTTGCAACGCCAATATAACGTATGGCCTGAGGCGGTGGAAAGACATCTCTGAGAGCTGCAAAACGAGACGCCCACCACTGAGAGATACAAGCAGCTCATGGATGAACTGCACACCCAACTCTATGATGTTCCTGCAAAATTCTACCATCGACTAGTGTGCAGCCTCCCTCTAGAGCTGCGATATAGTCTGTGCAAGCTGCGCCATTACACCTACAAACGCAGGATGGTGGAAAATCGCTGGGGTACTGAAGGAGCAGCATGAATGGGATCAACAGGAGAAGATCAACCTGCGTGCTCGAGTTCGCATCCTGACAGGAGACAACCAAAACCTGCAACAGCAGCTGGCAACCTATCAGGAGTTGAAGTTTGAGATCGCGATACTGAAGGATCAAGTTGCAGCTTACCGCCGTCTGCGTATGGCTAGGACGTCGGCTTATGTTTCCACTGACTCTATTAACCAGTGACTGTGCTATATCAACCGTTGCAGGATTACTAGGGTGTTCCACTCACTGTAATCGTTCTATAATTATGTATACACTGGAGTGATGATGTATCCCACTGTGACTTATCTTGTGTGTTGCACTACTTAACAATCACCTTTCTAGGTTTTAGATTAAACACTGTAACAGAGTGACATTCACCTTTCTAGGTTTTAGATTAAACACTGTAACAGAGTGATATTACACATTGAGTGCCTTACCCTTGTTGTGCCTATACCAAGCTGTAATCAGTAGAATGTAGTGTGTTTAATGTTTGGCTAATCACTTGGGTAGAGTAGGACTTTGCAGTCCCAGAGGAGGGAATATATTTTTTTTTTCCCTCTGTTAAGCTTGCTGATTCATGTAGATTGTAGTATGGGACCTTCTGGTCCCAAAAGGGGGGACATATATATTTTCCTCCCTCACTATTTAGTGGGACTTGTTAGCCCCAAAGGGGGGAATGTAGTGTAATGTACTGATTTACTGTAGTGTTTACACTGTACCTTTAAGTTGACCTTTAAAAATACGTGTTGAAGCAATGTACTCTGTGCACTGACGAATCACACACTAGTTTATTATTTCATGTATTCCTATGACACACACATACACTCATTGAGCATTTAAGCATTGTGGTGGAGAAGAACCTAGGATTCACTGTGCATCATTTCTAAAAATAGCATGAGGATGGGCTCAGAAACACTGGTGGAAAGTTAGGGGAATTCCAGCTTGTCCTGATATGACTCTGGTAAGAGGAGACGGTCTTAGACTGCCCAGGAAAGCATTACAAGTGCAAGTAGATAGGCTGGCTTTAGGAAGAACGGAGAAATGTGACACCATTATGGAGGGTAGGATGAAAGGAAAAAAAGTGGAGACTCAGCAGAAATGTGACACCATTATGTTTCAGCTCCAAGGGGGAAAGATTAAAGAAAAAGACAACTCAGCAGAAATCTTCACAATAAAAACGAGAGCGCAGACAAAGACATTCCAGTCCTGCTCTAGAGCTTGACTCATTGAGTTGATGTGTCCTGATGCCTGCGAGCACATTAAAATCTGTTGTACCTGATTCTACGTGTCTCCAGTGATTTTTTTGACTTCTGAGTATTTGAGTTTTTGATATTTAATAGAAACAAAGAAAGTTTGTTTGGGAACGAGGTTGCGAGCTTTCTGGCCCAGCTCCAGACCTTTAAATTTATGTTTCTACAATTGTCTTTTGTCAGTCAGTGTGCATTGTACTTCCAGGGACATTTTGGTCCCTAGATGTGGCTGCAGCATGAGCACTCTTCGCTTTCACGGTGCTCTCTGGTACAGGCAGCTATGAACCCAGAGCCAGGGTGAGTCCAACCTAGTCTCACTCCGAAGTCATTGAAATTCGGCACTTGGTCAGTGACTTCCGGCATCAGACACTGACAAAGGAAGCTGTCCTCTCACATTGGCATGTTGCTGTTATAGTTGAATGGTGCCTGGCAGCATCAAGGGGAAATGTGGCAGGACAAGAACGAAGTTGTTGGGAACAACAATATTAGGACTCACCAAGGGGCACCACTGATGTAGGGAACAATTCTGGGCCTCAAGGAGGGACATTATTATTATTATTTTTTGTGATCTAGGCACCAGTGCTATGTTTTACACGGTGGCACCATTTGTTGGGACTTAAGCCTTATCGCCAGCCTGACCTTGTAAGCTCAAGCTTGTCCTTCACTACCTGTCAGGTGAGCGATCAGCTGAGGAGGATAAAGACGAGGAAGACGGCATCAGCTCCAGTCTCCTGAAGTCCTGCGCAGACCAGCTGTGTGGGATAGTTGAAACCATCTTCAACCTTAGCCTGAGGCTGGGGAGAGTACCACAGCTGTGGAAGACATCCTGCATGGTACCTGTACCCAAGACTCCGCACCCCAAGGACTTCAGCAGCTTCAGACCGGTGGCATTAACATCGCACCTCCTGAAGACCAATTTGCCTACCAGCCTGGCATTGGGGTGGACGACACTGTCATCTTCCTCCTGCATAGAGCTCTTCTCACCTGGAGAAGCCTGGAAGCTCTGTGAGAATCATGTTCTTTGACTTCGCTAGCGCTTTCAACACCATACAGGCTGCGCTTCTAAGGGACAAACTGGAGCACATAGAGGTGGCTAATCACCTCACATCCTGGATCCTGGACTACCTCACGGACCGGCTGCAGTATGTCAGGACCCAGGATTGTGTATTGGACTTGGTGCAGTACGGCAGACAGAAAACATGTTGTGTGACTGATGGTGAAGTTTAGTTGTCAGAGACTGAATACATTCATCATAATATACTATACAGAGTCTACTGTACTATATTAATATTGGACGGTTTAATTATTGAAGTATTTAGCAACACAGAGTCTTGTGGTCAGTGGGATGTGAGGATTCTTAAAATAACGTCAGATGTGAAGCCCTGACTTTATCTGACTGGGCCTTAATGAAAGCTGTTGTCTTGTATTTTTTGAACCTTATAGTCAAACACAGTTTATTCAGCCTGTGTAGTTGAGGGGACAGGTCAAACTGATATGATGCTGATTTACAGGAGAATTCATATCAAATGGAGGATAAACCATGAACATAAACTACAGATCACCTGTAAAGCATTTTAATAAATTAATCTATCATAATTAAAACAACTGGAGACTGAAAACAAACTGATAGCCTATATGGGTCTGATCACTTTTTTAATGAATTGACATCATTCCAGACAGGATATGTGTGTGTCTGTGACTTCCTGTATGGACTGAAGGCTGTTGGAAACTGTTGGGAAACTGTCCGACTTCACCGCAGCTTTTTGTCACCGCCCCCCGCTGTGGCCGCCTGCTCTCGTCTGCTCTCGTCTGCTTTTCAGGCGAGGCGCAGTTCATCTCGAACGAGCCTATTGTCTATGGTCTACGGCTGCATCCCAAGTCTCTTAAAATTACTGCTAACCACCTTATCTAGCCACCTTATCTAACTGTTTAGTCCCTCCCACTTAGGAAAACATGCAAGGAGTCAGGAGTTAGGAATGAGGAGCGAGGACTGCTGATTAAGAGACATGAGACGGCCTTAAGGCCCGAACATACTCGGGCGGAACATAGGCGGAACGGACTCCGCGGAGGTCCGCGCGGACTCAAAGCGGACGTCCGCAAGGCCTGTGCGCGCAAAGCTCAGATTTTACGACCGCGCGGACTCCGCTCCGCGCACCAGTGACTGCTCGGCATGTATTTTTCACATCACGGGGATTTTTCACGGACATTTTTACAGGAAACTACAAATGTGGAAGTGCGCTCGACTATGGTAACCCGAATGACTGCGGACATTCCTCGCGGAGTCCGTTCCGCTTATAGTACGCCCGAGTATGTTCGGGCCTTTACTCTGAAGCATCACGCAAAGCGACGTCCTATTCTGGTGACGGCGCGACAGCTGGACCTGCTGCATAAGGGAGCCAGCGTTTGGCGTACATCCCAAGTCCCATTATATTCGCTGATCAAAGCCGTAACCCCCACCCCTCGCCGTCATGACTTTGGTCACACACTTTTGCATGTATTACCACTGTTATTGAGTCATTTGCCGAAGTTTGTCGCAATTAAATAACGGTCTGTAGCCCTGCCACTGTCACTGTGATGAGCATCATTATCATTATTATTATTATCATCATCATTATTATCACTATTATTAAATCCACTCGCCATTCAACAAGTCAGCTGCTGAGTGAATAAGACATATCAGACCTGTCAGTCTGCCTCAATCAGTCAGTTTTATTTATAAAGCTCAATATCACAAATCACAATTTGCCTCACAGGGCTTTACAGCATACGACATCCCTCTGTCCTTATGACCCTCACAGCGGATAAGGAAAAACTCCCCAAAAAAAACCCTCAAATCTTGACCTTTGCTGCTGTGTAACTAAAATCTAATGAACATTTTGCTCAGCATGAAGTGTGCTGAATGAACTGCTGAAGTTCTTTGACACTCTCTGAACTGAACTTTCATCATGCTGTGCAGCATTCATTTGTCTTTGGCTATGTGTGTTATGTTCTTGTTCTTGTTTTTTGAGTGTGGTCTGTATACATTTTGGATATTAGTTTTTCATATTCTGGTTGGCAATGAGCAGGTTGCCAGCCTAGAAAGTTCCATGTTTTTATCTTTTCAGCCCCAACACTCTGTAAAACAGTACAACTGGGAAAGTGTGTTTTTATTTTTACCTTAAAACTTCAGTTAATAGCCCAGGCTATTATATGCTTAAATCACTGAAATCAACAGGCCTATATTTGGGACAGGCGTCTTTAGGGACAGGCCTTTAATTCCTTTCACACAAAACTGTCAAATTATTTATTTAAACCAATATGAATATTACTTGTTTAACAATTAGGCTTCAGATAATATATATCAATTATGAATCATTCATTTGATCTAGCTCCAACAAACTACACATCAGAGGGAGAGAGAGAGTTTTGACACTCAAGGATTACGGCCTCCACCATACTGACACAACCCCACTTTATCCTGTTAAAACAATACTCACAACCTGGATTCATTTTTATAAAAAATCTTTTGATTCTTTTGGTATGAGGGCCCTTACGGACTAAAGGAATATGAATAACTTACAGGGTAATCAAGGAATGGACACATAATTCAAGGTAGCCAACAACCTGGTTTTATACATCCAAGAACTATATAAAAAAAAGAAGCTTGGCAAGCAGACCAGGCATTTAATTGAGACAGGTGTTTATTTGTCAATGTGTAACTGGGCTAGTACAAGGCACTGGGTGTTTAACTGGGATTAGTAGTTCCCCTTGCCCTCATTGACTTGCCCTCAGCCCTTTGTATGATGCAACAGCTTATGTTGCACAGAGGCCACCTGGAGAGTGAAGGGAAAGCGAGTGGGGGAACAGCGGGGGATTTAATTGGAACGCACCTTTCCTCATTCACTTTCAGCCCAGCTATAATTGATTGGCCACCAATTGCGGGACTAACGCTTCAGCTGCATCAGTTTCTGATTTCGAAATTTCTGATTATAATTATCATTGCTACGGGTTTATGATATCTTGCAAAACAGCAAATTTTCCATTTGCCTACATATAACATTGGAATAAAAAAAATTACACAACAGTTAACAAAGAAATTGCAATGATTTGATATGACATTTTTTCAGTTACTTATCAAGGTATCAGAGATTTTCTTGAGAAACTCTGCTAATAGAAGAGTGAATCAATACGCGTTTGTCTACCTATACATACAGACCTATTAAAAAACTGAAACTGAAAAGCATGTTGAAAAGTGAAGATATTTATTTGATTTATATTTATTATTTTATTTATTTTCTAGTATTGTCATTTTCTCCTTCTTTACTGCCACCTAACAATGGATGTATTTTCACACATTAAATGCATAAATGCAATGCATTGTGTGTGATATAGACCTCTGGAGTGACCATTGCTGTTCATTCACTCCCTCAGCCCTCTGAGGGTCGATCTCACCAAGCTCAGTTTTTCCGACAACTGGAATGACACTGATGATGTCAGTGGGGATTCCGTGGGAAGTCAAGAAGGGCATGTTAAACAACAATTGAAAACAGCAGACATTCTGACTTGTCAAAGCAGGAAAAGCACAGGTGTCACTAATAATAATAATAATAATGATGGCTACCTTCAGTCCTAGTAAACATGAACAATACCAGGGCCCTGAATTGAAGCAACTAAATGGAATTAAACCATTTTAATCAATCATTTGATTCTTTACACCTGTGCTTTTTCTACTGTGACCAGTCAAAATGTCTTCTGTAACATTTACCCTTAGTACAGTTTTACCATAATGTGACAATAAAACACAAGTTCAATGGACTGCACTTTTCCTCAAAGCTTGTTATATTATTTACTGAGCTCTGTGGACCCAGACAATGATTTATGTCAGCCCTGTGAATCTCGTTGTAGCATGGAGAGGAGCCTAAGTGGCCACTGACAGACCTGAGACCAACAGATACCCCTAACAGCTCAGGTGCAGTCCAGCATTAATCAGTCTTGACACGAAACTGTGGACCTTAACTTTTATCAGTATCTTAACTCACTTTTTTTGCAG